CCGACATCCGCCACTCCACCCACATGCCACGCATACGCCTTCCCGTAGTCGAGAACCAGCACACGCGCACACGACACCACACGACAAGACAAGGCAAAAGAGCAAAAGACGAACCCTCACAAGACTCACCCGTGAAAACTCCGTCAACTACTTTATGCAACCCTTCCTCTATCAATTCCACTATCCAGATCAACTAGCTTATACCTCTCTGTTTTCCTCGCCTTTTAATTCCAAATCCTGCTTCGAGGTAAAGTGTTTTGCTGTGGCGTTACGATGTATAGAACGTGTAGCGTCGTCGTCGTCGGGTTGGGTCGGGTCGTATCCAATGTAAGGATATCCACCACCACCTTTTCGTCTCGTTCTGCTTCAAAGAGGTGTCTAGCTGGAGAGACGCGTATGCTATGTTGCACTATTCAATCTATTACTGAATTGATCGTCGTCGTCGTCGTCGTCGTCGTCGTCGTCGTCGTCGTCGTCGTCGTCGTCGTCGTGCAGTTCCTGCGTCTGGTCGGCCGATCTCCCCTTGTCCGCTCGCCACAACAAGCAAGTGACAAGATGACGTTCCTCCTACGAGCGTATGTGTGCCAAATGCGAGTACAAGTGCCCGGTATCGGCGTATCGGCGAGATACCAGCCACGAAACAAGGGTTGGTGTCGCTTTACTGCGCGTGGTTTGTTCTTGCGTGTTCCCGTGCCCCCGGTGAAATATTGAAGCTAATATTGAGCGTTCTAGCTCTTACACTAACTAGCCTAGACTCGAGTTGAGGAAGTCGTCAGGAGTTGCAAGTTGCTGATGAGTCGTTGAGGACTCGAGGATTCAAGGGGTGATTTAACGCTGTTGGTAAACAAACAGGAAGACCAATGCTATACCAAGAATCGTTATGGCTATATCAATCAAACAGTCACCCATGGCACCAACCAACCAACCAACCACGCTCACGCTGATCAACCCAAACACAGCAGCGGGGGGTCACCTCCCTCCTCGCAGCCGTCGCACGCCTCCAACCACACACTGCTTCCTAAACTTCCCCTTAACCCCCTCCCCTCCGGTGCGCCAAGTAGCTGCTAAAGTCTCAGCTGAACAAGCTCGCTTAGCGTTTCGTGTAAGGGTAGCGAGCGGTCGCTAGCGGCCAACGGGCCAGTGGAAAGGCATGGAATCTTTCGTCAAACCCTCGCCCAGCTGCTCGCTCGTGGTGCGACGTTACGAAGGAGCGTATTCGTAAGACTTTTCGGCGCTTATTCAGCTACTGCTAGTTGACACACTTTAATGCATTCCCGTACCTACCAGAAGTATCAGCTAGCTCAGCTGTCAGCTATTGCTTCACCAGAGGGGTCAAACGACGATTCGTATAAGACTCTTGTTGGGATCGATCTAACGATTACTGTGAGGCTAGATTAACTTTTACATCTTGGTTTTTGTCCACACCCACCAGTGCGGAGCGGGGAATCGCACTCTTTCTTCCTTTGCGTCTCGGCGAGGCTACTAGCTTATGCCTGAACGCCTCGACATCTGCTGCCTCGACTCGGCTTTTGCATCTTTGAAATGATTTTGGTCTTTGCGTTTTGCACCTGCAACGTCGCACACCTGGTTGCACGAGCGTCGCAGAACCGTCGTGTTGGTATCAACAAGAAGCAAGCAGGCGGCGCAGTGGGTCCAGAACCCGGATCTGGGAGAGCACGGGAGAAGAGAGCTGGAAAGAGTACGGGCTGAAGGAGGCAGTTGAGCGGGAATCTCATCCCCATCTCGCTTCGAGCACGCCGTAGCGAGCTCCGTAGCGGAGGAGTTTGTGTGGGGAAGAAGGGGAAGGACATTGACGCAAGCAGATATACTCCCGTCGGTAGCTACGAACACGACGTTGCCACGCGAGCGGAAACGACTTGTATTCATAATCACAAAATAAACAGCTGAATAAACCCAACCAGCAACCCGGTTAATGAACTGTTACCTATTATGAAGCATCTCTTAACTCTACGCGACTGCCAGGACCACCTTGTTTACGATGGGTCAGCTGATGGGTCGAGTAGCTCGTCGAGTTGAACTCGAGCAGCTGGTTGAGCAACAGTGTGTAGAGCGGGAGTAGAGTTGGCGTATGGATAATTCGTCATGCTGCACGTGCTCACCATCATCTCTCTCGTCTCTTGTTGCATATCGCAAACAATATGACTTGCTCGTGTCTACAGTGATACTGCCACTCTATATGCATTGACTTGAGTCTCTGTTTCGTCACATCACGTCTACTTCTCAGTCACTCACATCAAAAGGACCAAACAAGAACGCACTCCGGACCGGACAGAACGCGTCAACAAATGACATGCCAGACTATACGCTATTCTACTATTCCGGCTCGGCCAGCATGATCCCGCACTGGCTCCTCATCGAACTCTCACAACTAGATGGAATCACATTCGACACCCAGGAGGTAGACTTTTCCTCCCGAGCGCAAAAGAGCGAGGAATACTTGGCGATCAACCCAAAAGGCGTTGTCCCAACCCTCGTTATCCACAACGACGATGGCTCGTCTTCCTCCTACACCGAATCAGCCGCCATCGCGCTCCTCCTAGCCGCTCGTCATCCTCAAGCGAATCTAGCACCCCACAACGTCCAATCTCCACAATACGCCAAATACATCGAAACCATGATCTACCTCGCCAATACCGTCCTACCCGCCATGCGTGACTGGTTCTACGCGAGTTCCGATTCCCAGTCATCATCCGAGTCGACGATCAAAACGATCAAGCAAATGGCAACAAGACGCATCGGTGCAGCCTGGGATCTCCTGGACAAGCAGCTTCAAGATCAGCCGTACCTCGTGGAGAACGTAGTGGGAGGGGAATGGCAGCCAACTGCAGCGGATTTCTTGGTGGTCGTTCTTGCGCGCTGGTCCAGGAATTTTGACGAGCCTGCCGTCAAGTGGAACAACTTGGATGGATTGATACGGAGGATGACGAGTCGGGGTAGTTGGGTTGCATTGAAAGCGAATCAGGAGCTGGAGGATGCGGAATGGCCTCAGTGATCCGGAATTCACAATGCTGCGAGTGAGTGCGAGTCTGGTGAAAGGCTATCGCCTGGTACTGATCTTGTCCTTCTCTCCTACAGTTCAAGCTCTCTTGGAACTGCCGCCTCCCTGTCCTCCATGCTTGCTGCTCCGTCCAGCCGATAATCCGGATCTTGACTTTCCGCCGAGACCCTTAAACCCAAATCGATACCGGATACGTAGACGCTGGACTCTCCCAGTGCGGCGCTTTGTCGGTTCTTGTAATAGGGTAAACAGTCGTTTGTATGTATATCAAAAGCTCAACGCACTCGACATGTTGTCGTCTTACCTCAAATCTTGCCTACCAGGATCAGTCGAAATCAACTCGAAGAGGAAAGGAAGAGCGCGCCGCTTCGTGGAGCGCTAATGATGGAATGAAAAGATGAGATCCACTCGCCGGAGAAAATCTTCCTACGAGCTAGTACAGCTCGCAAGACGAGTTTCTGGGATTTTTACTCGAGAGCTGTTTTAGCAAATAGGAGACGAGCGCGTCATGTATCTTCCCGATTCCGATGAGACGGCCGGTCAGTATGCGTGTTTGGTCAAAGAACATGTACAGGACACTTACCAATTTATTGCAGACATCGGATCGACGCAGGTGAAGGTGACCATCTTTCGGAACATCAAATCCCTCGCTGAGACCCACCAAACCCGACCCATCAGCGGAATTGAGTCTATGGACGACAACGAAATCCCTGGATAACGATGCACGTTTGCCAGACCGCTCGCAGACATACACTCTGCGTCGCACGCTGCTACAGAACGCTTGCGATGTGATGCGGATGTTCCATACCATTCCGTCAAATGGCACGTTGCAATGCCTTGAGGAATCATTACTCGGTGTGAGCACGAGATTCGGGTTCACAAGGACACGTCAAATGTGATAGCTGAAGCACATCTTCTTCTTACCTGCAGCACTTATTTTCCACGCCTTGCCTGTGGGGTTTCGGTACCTAGTGGTAACGGAAAGAGAATGGGATCGCGAACAGAGAGGGAATGCGCAAAGGTGTCGCTTGCCGAAGGCTGTCTTTGGGCCGGCTTTCAAGCCGATTTGCACGTAAGCTTGTTCACCCATTATCAATTTGCTTCTGAACGGCATGTGTAATCGCAAGTCAGTAAGTCACGTTGTGCATTGCGTCTCTTTTATTTCTATCTCGACACAGAGTGATGCAGCTAGCAGCTACAATTCTAAGAATTGTAGAGGCTTACCCGATGGATGGATGCATCAATGGTTATGTATGTTACCGTGCACATACAATAATCATATGATGAATGATCGGACGGAAATGCGCCGAAAGCCACGACTGGGTTACTTTGTCGGCGTCCAATTCGCCATCAACCGATTTGCTACCTTTTCCACAGCTCTTTGACTCTGCTAGCAACCCTGGAAGAGAAGCAGTACGCATCAAGTGACTGAAATGGCAAAAAGGTTTTCGCACGAGATGGGAACCTCGGACAAAAAACATGACCCTAGAGTGAATCGAACACTCGCCTCGGCAGTATTGCAACTGAGCTGCCTAGACAGTTCAGAAGACCACAATGCCACGTCGTAACCACTTGACTATAAGATCTTGAAGATGATTCGCTCGTTTTTGCACTCCTAACGTATATAATTGAAAAGGTCACCGTGTAAGGAGGTCATGTCTGGGACCTCTTCTTCTGCCCACATTGCCCCATGATACTTCACCCGGAAAGCTTCAGCAACAGTACATCGAATGTCCAGGGCCAACAATTCTGGATGGGCAGTATTTTGCTGCTTCTGGGTCGTCTATGTCTCTTGCTGCGATACTGTAGCGTGGGTCCGCCAGATTCAGCTCTTCGATAAGAACGCCCGCTTGATGAGATGTTCCAACGTTAGTCAACCTGTCTTTAACGTTGTCATCTTGAGGGCGGCGCGGAGGAGAGGGGGAATGGACAGAAAACTGCTTCTGGTCATGGGGTAACACGAGGGGTCGGCTTACATCTCGGGACTATAGTTTAATGGTAGAATAGCTGCCTTCCAATCGGTTCAGCAGCTGGCGTGAGTTCGATTCTCGCTGGTCTCACGACTGCCCAAAGTTTTTGGCAACCTTCGCATTGCCTTGTGGCGCAGCTGGCATCTTTTTCTGCCCCCCCCCTCGACTCATCCCTTTGTTGGCAAGCACCTCTCACCTTCCGACATACCCGGGAAGGCGACTACCAGGTGAATCACGTTGCTGCCTTTCTGGCCAGGTCTCCCATGTCGCACGGAGTACGTTGCCTAGCGATGCTCCTCATCGTCCTCTCGTGGACGCCTAGATGCGCTGTATCTCAGGATCTATCACCCGCGAGATACTGGATTACCTCTGCGATCTGAATTTCGTCCTTCCCTTCAACCGCAGCAAACGCTGGACACCACCCAATAACAGATGATGCGACAGGTCTCTGTCTTGTTTGCCGATGATTCGGCAAAGTGAACAACTCTCAAGTCAATCCTATGAGCAGAAAGGAACCATACATCCTTGACCTTGCTGGTGAGCTCCCGGTTTTCAATTGGGGTTTGACGTATACTTAAAACCGGCAACAGACAGCGGCAGTGAAGTGGTGGTGGACGAGGTCCAAGACTGCTCGTCATTGAACATCCCCCTTGCGCCAGTGTCGTCAAAATTCGTGCGACTGACTTATCCTGCTTGACGCCCAACCCTGCACTGTACCTTGAGAACTATGGAATTAAACAGCTGGAGGTCCCGAATCGACGTATCCATACTGTGACTGTGCGTCACTGCTGTAGCCTGACTGGACGGAATAGCAGAGACCTTCCACTGTATGGACGAAACGATCCACGACGGTTCACTCATCTTGCATGAAAAGCGATCATGATGCCACGGCACATCTACCAAGCATGCGTTGTTCTACCACATCCCACCTTACAAGGCCGCTGTGCCATTCCCCGACACTATCTGTCCCTTACTCTCCTGAAAATGCGGCATTCTTCTTCCTGCACTGACTCACCTCGGACTCTCTCCAAAACCACTGTGTCCGTCGTGCACAAATCCAAACCAAGACGCACCCCTATGAGCTGCTGTGAGACGCTGTAAAACTGCGGTGTAAGAAGATGAGATCGTTAACAAACGATCTCGAGTGTCCGCCGACACCGTCCTTCCGCCACTCCCGCACGCAGACCGCTTGCTCAAAACGCCATCATTCACCGATCTCACCTGCCCTGCAACACGAACATGATCTCAAACTCTGCTACCATCGGACCGAATTGACTGGTGGAAAGCACGACGATGATGAACCGCCGCCAGTTGCCCACCAGGTCCGCACGTATAATGACGAGGATACCGCTGTCAATATCCGATGCATGTCGACGGACGTGGAACCGAGCATCAATGAGAATATTGAGGACGCAGAGAGCGCCGGGTTGTGCCGATATGTAGACGTACCATCCTCCTCTTTGGCAAGCTGATTCTCTAAGATGCTGCGTCGTTAGACATAGTGAGGGACGTTCATCCAATCGACATCTTGACGCATCTATTTGGCGACGACACCTTGGTGAGGATACTCTGCGTACGAGGTCCTATGCGATTGCTGTCAGTCGAACGACATCGATTCTCGAGAGCTTGGCGAGCTGCTTGGCGGATCCTCGAGCACCACATATCATCCACGGCACGTGCCCAATTCAATTGTGACACAAAGCGAGCAAAGGGACGACGGGAAGAGATCACGGTAAGACTGTTGTATGGTTTGGCATGCAGGCAAGGCTCACCACGGGCACGCTATATCCGACAAGTCGCTACTAAACAGGGAGGGTATCAATTTCATTTGAAACCTGTCGATAAGAGCCGGTCTCAGTCAGAAAGGGACCTGCACCGATAGAATTCAGTCATGTAATCTCACTGGCTCGAGACCGAATGGAACTCGCTATTACAAGTCGAGCCTTTAAACACTATGATATTCTTTGAATCGTTTGCTCAGCTCATCAACCGCTGCTCAAACAAGAGGTAGAGACGCCGAGTCGGCATCCAAGTATAAGTATAGCTCAGCTTTTGCCCGGAGATATACGGTTTGGCGAGAGTCGCCGGTCCGTCCTGGCATTGCCAACACAAGCCCCCTCTGATTTTCGAATCAAGAAGGCAGCATTTCTATATGGCTGTCGCTATGGTGGAGGCACAGTACGATACAGCACAGTACAGTACCCTGTAATTTCGATTTCTTGCATCCGAGGTGGGAATGGTGATTTCGAACTTTCGGACGGACTTTTGTAATAGAGTAGGAACGAAAACGGATGATTGTCGTCGTCGTCGTTGGCTGGTTTGTTTATATTTCCCCGGTATATCATAGACTGTGTCTTATAGGCTAGAGCAGAATAGTAGACACAACGACCCCGACGTCTCGCACACATAGATCGGTTCCGGTTCGATAGCAACCAACAGTAGATTCAGCTATACCAGTACCTACCTTCTGAATCAACGCCGCCGAAAATCATTGATCGACACCGACGATCATTCGAATCACCCACAGCCTCGAGGCTCAATATCAAGCACGCATCTGATCGGCAGAAGCACGAAGGAGAACCCTCGAAACAGTTCTGAAACGCAAGACATCCGGCGGAAGTTTTTCACAATCGCAGAACAGTATATCCAACAACCAACCTAGGCCAAATAACGCAAAACTATAATCGCAAAAATGGCTCAAGCACCTGTGATACCACCCAGGTTATCATCGCCGTCTCCTGTTGGCAGGAAGAAGGCGTATCCATTCATGTGAGTTGTTCGCGAGTGATCTTCCTTTGGGCTGAAATTCGAGGCGTGGGCGTGAGAAAGTTCGGATGGAAGGGTGATAGGGTATTGCAGGTTGGCCGGGCGAGGCGCAGGATGCGGAGGAGGAAACTAGGTGTAGAGCTAGTGGCGCGGTGGACGAAGATTTTAGGTGGCGTGCTAGACAGCACTTGGGCTGAATGATACAAGGGTATTAATGTGTTCTGATAAAACTGATGCTGAACTCGTCCATGTACCTTTTCTCTTCCAGGCTCGGAGGTAAGCAACTCCGTCCTACCCACCTCTATTCCCACGTACTCACTACCATTCCTCCTTCGTTATCGTACTCTCTTTTCTTACAGGAATGGCATCCGCAGGAGCCACATTCTTCACGTACGTCTGCAATGCCCACTCTGCACACCGCCACATCACGCCACACGCATAAGCAAGCTGACCCACATATACATATCCCTCCGCGTCCCTCCGCAGACATCCGTTGGACCTGACAAAAGTACAAATGCAGACAGCGAAAACGAATACAAAATCAACCGGCCAATTCTTTGCAAACATTATCCGACAACACGGTACGCCCGTCTCCCACCTGCCTCCCTTCCCCACATCCGCTAAACTACACCTTCCTTCCCGTCCCCCCAACAGGCATCCGCGGGGCATACGACGGCCTCACCGCCGCCCTCCTCCGCGCACTAACATACTCGACATTCCGATTCGGCGCCTACGAAGTCGTGAAAACGAAATGGCTCGCCAAGAATCCGAGTATGCTTAGTATGATTGCTGCAAGCGCTGGTGCGGGCGGTGCCGCGGGTTTACTTGGGGTTCCTGCTGGTACGTTTACCCGCTCTCGTCGACCTTTCCCGAGTTGCAAAGACTGGGTTTACTAATCTGCCTGCATGTGCGTTTGTTCTCGTGCTTAAGAGGTCGTCTTGATCCGTATGGCATCCGACCGTACACGTCCACCTGCCGAGCGGTACGGTTACCGAAACTGCGTCCATGGTCTGTACAGGATCACAAAAGACGAAGGTATTCTTGCACTGTACCGTGGTGTCGCGCCAAACGTCGTACGTGATATTTACTTCTCAGAGCACCCAACTCCCTGCGACATTGCTGACACCCTTAGAATTGCTATACGTAAAGGTCCGAGCGATCCTTATGAATGCATCTCAACTCGCGTCGTATGACTACTTTAAAAGCACGCTCTTGAAAATTAAAGGCACCCGAGACGGCCCCGCATTGCAGTTCGGAGCGAGTTTCTTGGCTGGTACAGTCGCAACGAGTAAGTCGAAACGACACCCCATTCCAAATCCCATCGATTTCAGGCGCTCATCCTGCCGGAGTGGTATTAGCTGTTTGTGCACCGGCGGATGTCGTGAAATCGCGAGTCATGGCAGCGAAGAGCAGCACTGAGGCAAGTTTTTCCTTGATTTCCGCTACCTGCAGCGTTGCGTTCCATCGCTCATCCGGATTCCTTCCCACTGCGCCTCACAGAGTATACCGCAGATCATTGTGAACGCCGTCAAGACCGAGGGTCTACCATTCTTCTTCCGTGGGTGGACAGCCGCATGGTGCGTCCTACAACCGGCCTTGGACTAGATACCTTTGATGCTAACCGTTTTTTTCGTTATTAGGGTGAGATTGTGCCCGCAGACGATCCTCACGCTGGTCTTCCTCGAACAGCTGCGCCTGGCCGTCGATATTTGGAGAGGAGATAAAATGCCGTAGACCAGAAGTCCGGATTCTTGCACGGGTTCCGGTGCGATGACTGTGCGTACATGAGCAGGGCTTGTGTTAAGGTGTAAGGTGTATAATACTGTAGGATAGACAGGATAGGGAGGCTACCCAGGGTTAATATTTATAGATGCATGGTTTCCTCTACGTCGCTTCGCGGTGGCACCTCGCCAGACCATGCTTCAAGTCACTCGGAGCAGGATTGCCAGCGACATCTGTCGTTCACGCAGCAAGATACATGCGTGTTCCATCTCACGTTGCTTGAGGCGCACACGTTGGTATGCGCATATAGCGTCAGTGAGGTAGCTTGTCTCGGCGCGGATACGGCAAAGACGAGCGGGTGGGTGGGTAAGCCGATGTCCATATTACGGCTTGGCAGACGTCGGTACGGTATTCGTACGTGAATCGTCCACTCTTACAAGAGGCACCATCCTACCTGCCACGTTCGCCACCCTCGCAACTTATCGGGCAAAGCCTCTGATGCTATTACCTTTACCTCTTCACCATCCTATGTCATTGTCAAAAATTCTGTGCTCTATAAAATATCCTCTATGTAGGAGCGAGATACTGGGCATCAGGCTTTA